TGCCAATGATGGTAGTAATTTTCCAAAAGATATGAATTTACATGTTACATTTCCACCTATTCTTGAACGTCATGAATCAATTCCTCTGGGCCATCTTCGTCCATTAGGTTGGCAACGACGAGCTGAATCATCTGTATTAGAAGATTCACTTAGTATAGAACCGGCACGTTTTTATTATTTATTTGTTCAAGGTAATCGATCAGTAGCTATACGTGGTATTGTTCCATCATTAGATGCTTTATGGACAGATAGTTATTTATCAAAAAATTATGGACATTTAAATGTAACTGTTGCTAAACGAAAACAACATCTTGTTGATACATTAACACTGATGTCATTAAAAACATTTCTTGAACAATATCGACATGATGATTTATATATGAATACAATTATACCTGATGAAATGAAACATGAAACACCATTACCATCACTTATTAATTGTGGAACATTTCGTGATCGTTTATTAGAACCTATTCTATGGATAAGTGCTGGTGATACAGCATCACTTTTACAAGCACATTCACAAAATACATTACATTGTGTATTAGATGGTCGAAAAGATTTTATTATTTATGATGTTTCAAATCAATATCCACATGATTTTGATCTTATACGACAATCAAATGGTGATCTTTATTCTCGTATTGATGCAGATTTGGTTAATGCATATAAATATAAACGTTTACATAATATACCATGGTATTGGGCTACATTACGTGAAGGTGATTGTTTATTTATTCCAGCTTATATATTTCATCAAGTACGAGCACATGGTCGAACAATTGCTTTATCTCTTGATATGGCACCACCAGATACTCGAGATGATTTTATTGGAAATGATTGTGAAAAGAATCCACCTATTTATGTCTCATTAAATAAAGGACAATTTCAATGGAGATATGAACATGGTATTCGTCATTTATCAAAACGAACAATTACGATTGATGATGTGCGTGCTTATTTACTTCTTTTACTTGATAAAGATGATCAATTATATAAAGATATATTTCGTGAATTTTTTCATCAAGCAACACATGAATTAGCAAAAAAAGATTTAACATTACCAACAGCAAATGATATATGGAAACAATTAAATAATGATGAAAACAATGAAGAATATATAACTCAAAGTCGATTAAAAAGTTTACCATCAAATATTTTACAATTATTAGCTGATATACTTCAAAAAAGTGCTCGAATTCACGAATATGATAAATTTGAACTTTAATTTGTTTGTTTTTTGTTTTGTTTTGTTTTGTTTTGTTTTGTTTCTCATTTCAACGGAGATAGTCGAATAGGTGGTGGTGTTGTTGATGTTTTTATTGGTGCTAAAACTTCAAATGGCATTGTATAATAACTAGATGATGCTGTTATTTGTAATGTTGATTGTGCTCGAAGACGTGATACAACAGGTGCACGACCATGATCATCTTGTTTTTTGTGCCGTTTTAAATAAAAAAGTGATGCCAATGCTTAACAAAAAAAAAGGAAAATAAGTTTAATTATATTTTCTTTTAAACCCAACAAACCTTGTCCAAAACGTGTTGATGGTACAATTTCTTGTAGTCTTGGTTTATAGTTATATACTTCTTTTCGATCCATACTGTAAAATGAACGTTTAAAAAAAGCGAACAAGAGTATAGAGAAAAAAACAAAACTAGATGGGATTAAACAATGCCATAGAATACACAAGTCAAGAACAAGACAAAAAGAAAAACAAGAATTTCTTTTTTTATTCAATGTTTACAATGTTTCATTGACGATGGAGTATCAGCTGTTAAAATAACATGTCTATATTTGAAAATAAAGTAATCAAATGTGAAAATTCATCTAGCTAACATATCAGTGTATTGAATTTAACTGTTAGCAATATCATAAAATCTGAAATCGTTAGATTATCATATACAAATTCAAATGACTTGTAATAATTAAAATTGGATATATGGTTGACTAGTGATATAATAGTATTTGCTTTTCTATCGAAATGTTAAACTAACGAGTGAACGTTGCCAAATGATTAATTACTTTTGAATTCAGCCTTAATGAGATACGAAAGACTTGCAATAGATCAACAGAGGCATTTCACGAGAAGTTTAGCCTCTGGTTTGGTATATACCAACAGATCGAATGACAGTATTTCGAACTAAGATTTTTTTTCCATAGAGATATATATTTGTCAGGAGAATACCTTGAAAATTTCAGCTCAAAAAAAGATTCCCTTTCGGAAATATTAAAGTTTCCAAAAAAAATAAAAAATTCTAGCATCTTCCGTAGAATAAGAATGATCTTTTGGTATATACGTACTATGTCGGAGGCTAAAATTCTAGTAAAATACCTATAGTTCTCAACAGAAGGCGTAAGAAGACTTATCCATTGGCAGTTTTTCATATTTTACTGGAGTCTGTCTCATGTACAGAGTCCGAATTCAAAAGTAATCGGTCAATTGAAAATGTTTTCTCAAGAAAGTTACGCTTTCGCCGATTAATTAAGCAAGACATCAAGAATATTATAATGCCTGAACAATTACACGCCTAAATTGTAAAACAAAAGAAACGTGTTAAATATAAATTTCTGGATGAAAAATTACAACAATAACTTATTCCGTTTTTCATTTGATAATAAGAGACTTATACTATAAACGAGTAAGAGCTCTGCTCAATTTTTGATGTAAACATGGACTTAATTCAAATAAAACTATTTACTTGCATTTTTTCCATTTTTTTCCTTATAACAGGAGCTCGAGTATCGGAAGCTCATTTGTCGGTGTACCGACCAATACAGCTAGAATTTAAGCAATTAGCTTTGCTAAAATTCTAAAACCTTTTTTTTTTCTGACTTGAAAAGGTTGTGCGCATGATTAATTTTGAGCTACATGAATGAATCGAATTGGAACAAAAATATATTAAGAGCTCTATCAATATCACCTTTGCCACAATGTGATAGATTTATTCCTAACTCTTGAATCAAAAGCATTTGAAATAATGAAATTTTTGTAAAATACAGTCATTTTCGAGAAATATCAATTTGCAAGAAAATTGACCATCATATCCAGAAATTATGAATAAACTAAATTCGTGTTACATTATTTATTCAGAATATTTCAGGTCATAGAAATTTTAACAGAAAAATGAAGTCAAAAAGAAACATTTCTTGTTTATCGTTGCAACATGGTCAGGTATACGAACGATCCACTAACTCAGTCATTTTTAGAAAAAGCTATATTTTGATATAAAACCAAGAGTAAATGTAACTTCCGAAAGAGCACTCTTTACGCTACAAAAATCAGCATCAAACTTTTTTTTAAATTTCTCTCTTGATTTGGAAAAAAAAATTACAGAAAATAAAAAACACTTGCTAGGTAATGAAGTTGCAAGAACTTTTTTTGAATGTTTCAGTTTGAGCTTTTTCTTCTCTCCAGGTTCATTCTGGGAAAATATATTGGGGCACAAAATTTGCAATTCAGATATTGTTTTTTCTAGCAAAAAAAAATTTTTTTCATTTAAAATTTTGCCACATGGTATAACAAAGTATCACATTTTCCCAAGGACCTTTGCATCTAGCTTTAAGTTCATCCTAGAATCGGATATTTTTACAAAATTTCCATAGTACAATTGGATATAATGAATCTAATCGATCATGTATGCGAATCATTCCAAATTTGTTTAGGAAAGTTTCCCAACTAATCAATTAATTTTGAGCTGTGACTATACAAATTATGTAGACTCTAATGAGCGATGAGTCACCTAAAACAATTTCGGGCTCTCGGATTATTACTGCAGAGATAGTATATGTTTATCGTATTTTTAAGTCAATTTCATGGTTTTTTGTCAGAAACATCAGGAAAACAGGTTTTTGTATATCAGCTTCAGACTTTGTACAAAGACAGCTATTAACGAAAATAGTTTATGATGAAAATTTCAGATCTTTTGATTTACTCCTATCCTGAAATAAGAACATCAAATCTAGTTGTTAGTATGAGTGATGTAATAGCCACGCTGTTATCATAGTTGTATTTTAGGATAGAAACAATGATAAGATCTGCAACATTCACAGTAAACTATTTTAATTACGACCTGTTTCTACGCAAACTTTCAAGAAGAAATTCAAAACTCAGTTTTCCTGATGTTCTTGAGAAGATGGAGTACGACATTGACTTGAAAAAAACACCGTAAAAATGACATATTTTCGTTGCAATAAACAAAAAGCCTGAGCTCTTTTTTGGGATATACATCATTCATTAGGATCCGAATGATGTATAGATTCACTATTGAAAAGCTATTAATCAGTTGAAGTACTTTTTTCATGAAATTTTCAGCTTGATGATATTAAAAAACATCGCTTTTGTATTGATACATGGCTTGAGATATCCCTGGAAATTCATGAAATATAGTGTCAATGATAGTAATTATGATTTTTTTCTCTTCTCTTTGGGCAAGGTGATACGCAACCTAGACCACTCTTGGTTACACCATTATAGTGACCATTCGTTCAAATTCCTCGATCAAGTGTTAATGACTTATGCTTTCTAAAACACTCTTACTACCTATGAGTAAAAAGTCATATCAAATATTTCGACATTGTAATACTCTTTATCCTTCATTTCAAGGACACAGAATGTTCTAAAGTATAATTCATACACTATATTTCAAGCATAAGATACTTAAAAAGAATAAATTCAATTTTTCAACTATGATACCATATATAGATATAAACCAGGCTTATAATATACTCAAATTTAGTTTATTCAGATGTTTGGTGTTTCAATTCGTCCTTGTACTATACAGTGTAATGAAATGATAAAATAATTCGTACTGTATAGTCTTTCGTATTTAATCTTAAAATAGCATATATTTCATAGTCTATCGTAAATAGAATATTCTATTTCTTCGACGATAATTAATCGATAAAGAAAAGGATCAATAGTTAATCATTCCATTTTCTCACTCTCTCTCTATATATAAACATATTGTAAGGACAATGTTTTGATTTTTATTATAAAAATGCGATATACACTTTTCATTATATTTCTTCTTAGTGGTATTTCACATGGTTTTTTTGGACCTCTTAGTCAAGTAGTTAATAATGTCGGCAATACAGTTCAATCAACTGCAAATCAAATAGGTCAAACAGTTGAAAATTCATGGAATAATATTACACGTCATATCGAAAATGCTATTGATCAATTAGTAAATAATGCAAATCAAATAGAAGTTACTGCTAGTTTTCTTTGGGAACAAGTATTTAATCCAGCTTTTGATATGATGACTCAAGGTAAAAAATTGATTTTAAATTGATCATTAAACGTTAATTTTCTCTGTTTTCTTTTCGATAGGTGGGCAATTACTTCTTAATAATCAATTATATACTGTTAGTTATATAATTAATTATCCAATAACAACATCGAAAAATCTTCTTACAGAAAAATATTCACAATTAATTGCTCGTTTAAAATCAAATGTTCATCATTTATATGAATATTTATTTTTAATGCAACATGAAGCTTTAATGGCTTTAGAAAAAGATGAATATAATTTTGAAGAAAAAATTCGTGCATTTTACGTTAAAATTGATGCTATTCCTAAGCAAATCAATCAATGGGCTGTAGAAACAAAATATGAATTAGAAACACATGCAAATACTATTCATGGTGATTGGCTTCATATTCTTAGTCAATATAATCAAAATATTGATATTAGTGTTAAAACATTAGTTACAATGTTTCAACAATTAATAGAAAATTTAATGAAAAATTATCTTAAAGTTGTTCTTACTGTCGTTCCTAATGCTGTTAATAGTATTGAAAAGATGAAAAAAGAAGGTTTACTTTCGTTTTTTCATTATTAAATTGAAAATAACAAATAACAAGAACTTTTGCTGTAACAAGTTTTTAATAATTTTTCATAATTTTTTTTGAAATAAAAGAAAAACAAGGCAAAAATTTAGTGAAAAAAACGATCACTGTCAATACATTTATTTCTAGAGAATCAACAAGTCAGTTTCTAATTTTAATTTAAAATATAAAATTGAAGTTTCAATCGGAATGAGAGCATAGTAAATTTCTATTTCCAAGAAATTCAAATTTCTGCACGTCATTATCCAATGGATGATACAGACTAAAGAATATTACTACCAGAGTCCAGATTAAATGTATATGATGCCGAGTCATAATTGATTTTTACACATTCAATTGAAGGGATGTAACTTATAGTCTAGCGTTCGTTGGGATCGAACAGGAAAATTATTTTAATATGAAAAGTATATAGAAATGAAGTGTGTATCTTAGGGGATTAGTTGGGCTAGGAAAGATGTGGACTAAGATAAGTACTCTTACCCAAACTCTTCTATTTATTTTATCCTGTTTTTTTTTCACTTGCTAATTGTGAGTTAACGTTTTATCTTAAATATATTTTAAAAGTGAAAGAAAAATTAAAAACAACTACCTTATAGTGTCAATCATTAATGTTAATATTCCAGTTACTCAATGAAGCGTTTAAGAATAGTTAACAGTAAAACGATGAATTTCTCGACTCAATCCAATCCCAAAAATATACACTTCATTTCTATGTACTGTTTATATAAAAGCCAATGTCCTGTACTTGTTTTTCAAAACACTAAATTAAATTTTCATGAAATTTTTCTCATACTCATTTCATTTGAATTTCCTGGAAATAGAAACTTCCCGTGTCACGATCGAAGTACTATCGCCATCGTACTACAGTAACTTTATTCGATTATAATAAATGAATGGAATAGCTATTTGTAAAAATTGACATTAGTAGGTGAGAAATTGACAATTATATTAATGCGAATGATCAATATAAGCTTAATATTTTTAATGAAACTTCTCAAAAACCAGCATTAATAACAAGATAATAATATTATACATACTAGAAATATTGATAAACAATATGTCGATGATAAATGCATATGACATAATATAGAGATGTGCAAGATAAGCTTTTCCACTACTCTATACCCGACTCAAAAAAAAGCTTGCTAACTCTTACCCTACTCTATCAGGTAACATCTATGCTCATATCAGAGCTGTAAACCTGATCTGCTGTCTGACAGACGCCTATTAGACTAAATTTTGAAATTTTGGCCTAGTCTGATCCATCCTAATAGTATTAGACTAGACTAACAAGCCTTAAGTTGTTGACATTTGTATGATGTAATATTATTTTCTCTAGTATAACTTGAATCATACAGTGACACCAAAAGCTCACTAATTTGTTAGAATTTGGATGTAGTTCATGTCTTTACACATAGTCAGCCATGTTCGCAGCTACATTCACACCAAAGATTAACATAAGGAGCATGAATTGATTAAGTTATAACTTTAAAAAATAATCAATATCAGTTTTTTTTTTGTGAGCTAATCAAGATATATATAACAGTGCGTTAAGAACTACTGCTGTAAATTTAATGGATATATACAACAGTCGTATTTACCGTTTAACTCAATTCTTACGCTAATAATAATGTTAAATTAAGAAAAACCATATAAGAAAAAGAAAAATAACAAGCGAATAGCAATTATGCAAACAAACAAATAGGACAAATCTTTCCTTTGATGATCGATTATTTTTTAACAGAACTATAATCTCTTAGAGATTTTTCATTTCACCTATATTGTATTAGTTTATTGAGGATAAAGAACATATATGAGTTTCATATTTCAGCCCCACCAGAGAGACTGCGCTAACAAACTATTTTAATAAAAAGAATGTTCTTCAATTCATCATATCTGAGAGCGAAAATTTCAAGAATACTAAGAGAGAGTAATTTATTCTGTGCATCCAATACAAGGTAAAAAAAGTTCAAAATGATTCGGGTTCATAGCATCTAAGCAAAGATATCATATGTCCTTAATTTCGATAAATCATGCAAAATCTACAGAAAATCTTCATTAATAAATAAAAAGATCTCAAATTTTCAGTCGATTTTGTATCTCTAATCAATAATGATTTCTTTTTTAAACTAATCAAAAAATTCGACAAAAATGTAATAAATGAAAGCAAAAACAAGTAGAAGTTTTATTGATAAAAAAAAATGTTAATCTGTTTTCGGCAAACAGAAGACATGAGTAAATCTTCAATTGTGTATGATTGTAAGAAAGCATGAAAATACTTAAGGTCAATGTAGTTAGTTTTGGTCTGCAAATCTTTGATGATCCAAAATTAGTATTAAGAATAAATAAATAGCATCAGGTACTTTATTCGAATAAATTTTCAAATCATATTTAACAGGTTTTCAAAGGAGCCATAGACCACAGAATCGAAATTGAGCTAATAAGTCATTTTGCTTTCCATGATAAACTTTTTCTTTTCTCAAAAATAATTCCAATTTTCGATCATTTGTTCACTATTACATAGGGTACTTACAAAAGTTTTTTCGCCCGGTTCTTCTAGATGGCTCAGCTTGAGTTCAAGTATTCTGTTATAATGCTTAGACATATTTAGAATTATGTGCAAAATTTCAGACTTCTAAGTCTTGTACTTTGCTGTAGTCTATCATTTCTTTTACGTTAGTAACATGCCATTTTCTGTATACTAAATAACGAGCAGTATATAACAAACGCTAGAACTTTACATTTCATCTTTTGATCCCTGAAAACATTTTATTAAAAAATAACAAAATATACCAGAAGATGCAGCGTGAAAAGCTCTGCAATCTACAACATAAAGCTAATGTTAATTGTGTACTTTTTGTTTCATCATAGAAAGTGTTTCCAACTGACCAATTTTCGACGTTACGAAAAGTTACCGAGAGAATTCTGCTTATTTTTGTCAATACAGAGTGCACAATAACAATAAGCTGTTCTTTGTAAATTGTAGAACTTTTCATGCTGCATCTACTGGTATATTTTATATTTTAATAAAACTTATTTAAGCATCGAAATATGAATTGCAAAGTTGTCCCACTTATTATTGGTTATCCTTTATCAAGTTGCGTACATCCACATAAAAGAATTGATAGAATACAGCAAAGTACAAGACTTAGAAGTCTGAAACTTTGCACATAATCCTAAATATGTCTAAGCATTATAATAGAATAGTTGAACTCAAACTAAGCCTTCTAGAAGAACCGGGCGAAAAAAATTTTGTAATGCCCCATGTACGCCACTACGAAAATTAATATCTTGAGTTGTCTTTTGATGATACGACAGCTGTTAAGTGTTATAGCGTCTTGTGCTCGTTTTTTGTTTCTTGCATATGCTTTTTACCTATATTTGATCATTAATAAATTGTTAAGAATCTTGTATTTTATTTCGTTTTTTTTCAATACAAACTGTATTAAAAGGATTTTTTGTTTCTTCATAAATTCAGATATATTTCCGGATCACTATAATCCAATAATTGTTTTCATCAACGAGATCCGTGTTAATGTGAGTACACACGTTTTTTAAATAAAAATATGTCGAGACAAGTATGTCATAAATTAATAAATTTAATATTAACTATGTTCAGATGTTTTTTATTGTAGAAAATGTTTGAACTCATATAAATATACTTTTATTACATGAGATATGCATATATGTAATCGAACACTTGCAGTAGAATGAATGATGATGTCTAAACTTTGTTGATATATCAGTCATATTTCTTCATTTCTAGATTTGAACAAGAAACTATATATAATTTTGTGTATATGTGATTTGTTTTCTTCAAAAAAGCATATTTATTCTTGAAGTATTTTGTTATGACACGTTTATAGATCTCTATATTTATTTTTCTACTGAAGATAATTATTATCAATAGATTAATTACTAAAATAAGTTGTAAACGTATCATAAAAAAAAGCCGAAATACTTGAAAGATAAAAAGATATTTCTTCTGAAAAACAAAATGGCTATTTGCAAACTTGTGTGTAATATTTTTTGTTCAAAAAATTAAGACAGGACGAAATATACATTAGTTTCGTTAATTATACTATTTTGTATTCACTTCAGGGTTAACTTATTCAAAAGAAGATAAGTACCCAACTGATTGCGATATCAATAAATATTGAGAGGATCATTTTTTGTTCAACATACTTCTTTCAATAAAACATAAATTAAGAGTTATAAGTGAAGTCTATCTGCTACATAGAGCACTAGAAAAGTTTTCTTGTTTTTTGTCTGACTTTTGCAAAACACATAATTTGAATGTAAGTATTCTATTGTTATTTTAAACAAAATTTAAGATCACGTTAATATTTTCAACATTTCACGTCTTAGTTGTTGTTGAGTTTTTTAAAAATTAATCACATACCATTTCGTAAATAAGTTTTAAGCTTACATGTGAACAGTTTCGCACGATGATTTAACTTGTAAATAGAACTTTCATAGTAATGATAAAATTTAGTGTTTTGAGTAAAACTAACTACTTTCGCGCTGCTCTAAGCTCGGTTCACATCATATATTGGTAGATGAAAAATCCAACAATTTCTGAAGTTTGCTTCCCAATGAGAAAATTCAAATTCCTGTTGAAAATGACATTTAATTAATCTGACTAAAACGAAGAAAAAGCATGATACATAAGATGTACAGCCTGAGATTTTGCACATAATCCTAAATATGTCTGAGCATTATAATAGAATACTTATACTTAAATGATAGCTTTTAGGAGACTCGAATAAGAAATTTTTTCTAGCGATCCGTATAGTTTTTCATTTGTTCAAAAGAAATTATGATTAGTGTTTTATTTGCAGATGAAATTTGGCAACAATGAATATATTTCTAAATATGACAGATAAATATCCTATTATCTCATGTTCTACTCATTTATTACAATAAGTTCTTCTAGTTGCAGAAATATAAAAATACCTAAATATGATGTGTTTCAATAAGCACAGTCCCTTCA